CCGACATCCGCCACACCTTGGGTATAACCCCAACCCTAAACATATTCCTCTACCCAACCCAATCCAACTACAACCATTACCCTAACCAGGGTTGGGCAAACTGCGGCCCGCGGCCGCAATGCGGCCCTCTACGGGGTTCTGTGCGGCCCGCGAAAGCCTGCAGCAAATAAAAATAAATAAAAAAAATAAATAAAAAAAACAAAAATTTTGTTTTTAATCAATAAATTTTGTGAAAGTCAACATGTTTGTTTTTGACCGAGGCTGACTTTTTCAGTGTCATACAGATTAGTGTTCCATTGTCTCTGGTTCGCTCTGCAACGCCATTTCAGTTAATTATGGTCCAGAATGGTGCCCTTGAGGCGAAACGCACGTATTATCTTAGAGCCCCCCCTCCCCCGATTTTAAAAGGTGCGGCCCTTTGACTTTTCATGCCCACTGATGCGGCCCTCGCTTTGAAAAGTTTGCCCACCCCTGCCCTAACCATTACCCCAACCCCAATTCCAACCATAACCCTAACCATTACCCCAACCCTCAGGGTTCGTACGGGTCCTTGAAACCTTGAAAGTGCTAGAATTTTTATTTTTTTATTATCCTGGAATTTTAGGCTTCTCATCCAAAAGTGCTTGAAAAGCCCTTGGAAAACGAATTTGGTTGATCCAAAAAATTTATGAGTTCAAGAACATGGTTACAATTTTGTCAAAGTCTGTTACCAAGATCGCTCACAATAAAATAATAAATAAGGTTCGAGTTTGGGGCTGGATCGTAAGCGCAGAGAATATAGCGCTGTATGCACACAGATATACTGATTATAGACTGACAGCACGGTATACAGTGTATCTGTAGGTCCTTGAAATTTGGCTGTTGGGTCCTTGAATTTCAGGTTTGGTGTAGTGTACAAACCCTGAACCCTAACCCTCACCCCAACCCTAACCATTACCCCAACCCTAACCCTCACCCCAGCCCTAACCTTACCTCAATCCCAACCCCCAACTCTAATCCCAACTCCATCTCCAACCCTCAGCAGAACCGTAACCATCGTTTCTCATTGCTGTGTACAGGATGCGGCGAGCGAGAGTCGAATGCGTGTGTCCAGCATGCTGGAGCAGCTACAGAGCGTACACGACCAACGCGTGGCTGTCTACCAGGCCTACGACGACACGATCAACAAGTTCAAGTCCAGCAAGGACACGGCTGCGTTTGCCGCTAACAGGTACGTGTGTGTGTGGGAGGGGTGGGGCGTGGGTCGGGTGGGGTTCGCAGATCTAGACTGCGTGCAGCGTTTTGAAGTGTGAATTCTCTTTCACGTGTGTGTGTTGACCCATGCTCCCGCAGCGATCGACTGACAGCTCTAGCCAATCTGCTTTTTGCCAGGGTGTTGTGCAGTTCGCTTTTTAATTATTAATTATTTTATTTAACTTGTCGGTTATAGGAAGAAGAATGATGCGGAGTACAAGCAGTTCACCCAGACCATTGCTGATCTGCACATCAAGCTGAAGGCGGAGGCATCTGACGCAGCAGACAAGGTGAGAACCTAGTTGAGGTGTGCGTGTATCATCGTCATTCCTGCGCAGCTGCATCTAATTAGCCTGTTGTTCAGCCCTTATCTGTTGTGTAGCATCTTGCACCTGTATGCTAAGAATCCATGAATGATTGTATACAAACAGATTAACACATGCATGCATGCATGCACTCACGCGTACAGGTAAACATGCATACATGTGCATACATTAATCTGGGTGCAGGCAGGCAGGGTAGTAACTACTGGGCGTAAATCCACCCACCGAGTTTGTTTCTAGAGCTTTTGTAAAAAAAAAATAGTCGGTACGCATCTCGGCAACGACTAGTTTACTCTGCGATGAAACACGTCGATTCCAGCGCGGACGATTAGACAATCAGGCGGGTTAGTCGAGCGCTCTCCGCCGCTGCCACCACTTCTTCGATTTGCCGATCAACAGTAGATCAGTCGAGTGTTCTTCACCCTTTCGCCACTTCTCCCTCTTATTCGCGTCCGTCGGTGTCATCGTCGTTCTCTGCGATTAGACAATCAGGCGGATTAGGATTAGTCTAGCTCTCCCCGCCTCTGCCCCCACTACTTCGGTTCACGTCCAAGTCCTGCTTGACGTTCTCTCCACGTGTGTTTGCGTAGGTTGCTGAGCTTCAGAAGCTGGATCGCAGCGTGAAGGAGCAGCTGCAGGCAGCGATCAGCTACGCCGAGCGCGTCGTCGCAAACAAAATGCTGAAGCAGGCGTACATAGAGGCGGAGAGCGCCACCAACGCCAAGAAGGAGGACCTCATCGCCAAGATGGAGGCAATCCTCGAGAGCCTGTAGGCAGACGGGTGCGGCCGCAGATCTCGTCGCATCAGAAACGCTTTTGTGGAAGCACGTCGGTGACGATTGTGGTTCCACGAGTTTCGGTCCACGGGAAGGCTTTTTTCGTGGCTTCACCACACGGTGGTTGTACATCACAGTTAGTGTCTGTTACAAAGAACGATTTGCCGGTGTTTTAATAGATGTGAAAAAAATGCAGTCGTATTTGCTTGATATGATCTGTCTTGGGCTTCGTAAACAAGGTAATAAATTCAATTATTTGACTGACATTTAAGCTTGAATGTTTTCCTGTAATGTTTTTTGTCGTTAGTATATTTTGTGGAATGGCTTTTCATATGAATCAACGTAGAGTAAACTACACATGGATGACAACAGAATTAAACCAATGTAATCGCATTTAATGTCCATTGGATACTGAAATTGACATGACATTGGATAAACTTGTACAAACTTTATAATAATGCTAAATTTATTTAATAAATGATTCAGGATAAAGGTAATGTGCTGTAACAACACGCATCGATGTTCACTATGCATGGTAAAGTCGTTCTATAAGTGTGCAATACATTTATCTAGCCAACAAACAGTTTGATATTTTAATTTGATTTCAAGGACAGGCAAAAAAATCAATTGCATGTGCACGACACACGAAAACACCAAACCTTCAATAAACTGCTGTGATACACGGACAAGTAACAACTTCTTGTTACAACTTTACCGTTGCTATATGTGAGAAAATGATAACGCCATTACATGAATATTCTTTTTTGTCTAACGCTATAAAACGACCTCAGACCTCAGTATTTACAGTATTTTACATGACACAGAATGTTCATAAATCTAAATTCACGAAGTAAACGTATTAACAGGTAATTTATAATTTCTACTTCTACAGTTCTGAGACAGCTTATATTAACAGAAGCCAAGTTTGCAACTCGAAATAAAACACCTAAACCGTATAAATCAAGTTCTTTTGCAAGGACAAAAAACAGTATACTATTCACTCACACATTCTGACATATTTAAAAAATAGAAACTGAAACATCAACAGGATATAAAATACTGCTTGCTTTCCCTCCCCTATTGCCCTCTCCCATTCTGTTTGCCTGCTTTCTTTATGTCTGCCCCACCCTCCCTTCACCCTTTTTACCCCATGCCCAGCAATGCACAGTTAAAATGCAACTCCGCTCATGACACTGCATTTAAATGAAACCTCGTCGTCAGACGAAGTCTTTTCAAACAAGTCCTGCTCCAACGCTCTCACGGCGTCCATCTCCGACGAGACCTCCTTCTCCGTCTCCTCCCTCCTCTCTTCTCCAGACGGCGGATCAACGTGTCGCCGCTTCGGCGGACGAGTCGGGGAGAAGCCGAGGATGGACGCGTGATCTTCCGCGTGCGCTGCCTCCGTACCGTCGACGGACGGCGAGTGAGCGCGCTGCGTCGGAGGAGCGCCCGTGCCGGCCGCCTCGCCGCCGTCGCATTGTCTCGCTACGCCGGCGCCGCCCGTGGCGGCGTCGGAATTGCGACGCCGGTATTGCCGCGTCGCCTCCCTGCCGACGCCGACGACAAAGCTCTCCATGTGCTTGGGAGTTCTAGTCTGGCGCCCCGACCGCCGCGAGCGGCCCCGGGTCGCGACGGCGTCGGCGTCGGCGTCAGTCTGCAAGGGCGCGAGAGCGGATTCCTGCACGCTGCGCCGCCGCCGCCGTCCTCTCTTGGCGCGGATGGTACCACGCGACGTGTGCAACGTGGCGGGGTCGCTCGAAAGCTCCGTCCCCTCGTCGACCGCCGCTCCCGGTATCGTCGCTAGTCCCTCGCTCACCGGCGCCCCCTGAGTTTCCAGTCCCTCGCTCACCAGCGCCACCTGCTTTGCTGGCCCCTCGCTCACCGGCGCCCCCTGAGTTTCCAGTCCCTCGCTCACCGGCGCCACCTGCTTTGCTGGCGCATCGCTCACTGGCGCCCCATGCTTTGCTTGCCCGTCGCTCACTAGCGCCACCTGCTTTGCTGGCCCCTCGCTCACTGGCGCCCCCTGCTCTGCTAGTACCTCACTCACCGGCGCCACCTGCTTTGCTGGCGCGTCGCTCACTGGCGCCCCATGCTTTGCTAGTCCCTCACTCATAAGCGCTTCTTGTATCATCGGCTCCCCCGGTGCTGCCAGTGTTGTCACTGGCCCTTCGCTCACCGGGACGTCGGCCGGAGCTTCTTCTCGAGAGGTGGTGTCAGTCTCCAAGGGAGCGAGAGCGGGAGCAGGAGCGGATTTCTGCGCGCTGTCTGCCGCCCCCGCGGCCGTCCCCGCTTGGCGCGGTACGGACGCTTGCTGCGCGCGGGTCACCTTGAACAACTGGTCCGCTGGTCCCTCAACCACTGAGCGCCTTCCGCGTGTCCCCGGTTCCCTCGATCACCGACGCCTTCCTGTTGTCCCGGTCCCTCACCCACCGGCGCCCCCTGCATCATTAGTCCCCGTACCACTTGGCGCCTCCCGTGTCCCCGCGTCCTCGATCACCGACGCCTTCCTGTGTCCCCGGTCCCTCACCACCGGCCCCCATGCCCACGCCTCTCCCCCCCCCATCCACTCCCGACATAGTCCTCGACACCTGCGCAGCCTCCTGCTTCGCCAGCCCCTGCCCACCGGCGCCCCCGGTGTTATTTGCTCCACCTCGGCGCTCAAGCTTCCAGCGTCTGCCTCGCAGCGCGGCTGGACGTCGGCCGGCGTTTCTTCTCGAGCGGTGGCGTCAGTCTGCAAGGGAGCGAGAGCGGGAGCGGATTTCCGCGTGCTGCGCCGCCCCCGCGGCCGTCCCCGCTTGGCGCGGACGGACGCTTGCTGCGCGGCGGGGTCACTTGAAACTGTCGCTGGTCCCTCAACCACCGGCGCCTCCCGTGTCCCCGGTCCCTCGATCACCGGCGCCTCCCTGTGTCCCCGGTCCCTCACCACCGGCGCCCCCTGCATCATTAATGTCCCTCGACCACGGCGCCTTCCCGTGTCCCGGTCCCTCGCGACTTGCGGCCCCCTGGCATCATTAGTCCTCGACCACTGGCGCCTCCTGTTCGCCAGCCCCTCGCCCAGCCGGCGCCCCGCGTGTTATTTGCTCCACCTTGTTTGCTCAAGCTTTCCAGCGACTGCCTCGGCAGCCGTGGCTGGACGTCGTGCCCGGCTGTTTCTGCTCGACGCGGTGGCGTCAGTCTCCAGGGAGCGAGACATTAGTGGCCGCAGCGGATTTCCGCGTGCTGCGCCGCCCCCGCGGCCGTCCCCGCTGGCGCGGACGGTACTGCACGACGCTGCCCCGCGGCGGGGTCACTTGAAACTGTCGCTGGTCCCTCGATCACCGGCACCTCCTGTTGTCCCAGGTCCTCAACCACCGGCGCCTCCTGTGTCCCCGGTCCCTCGATCACCGGCGCCCCCTGCATCATTAGTCCCTCGACCACTGGCGCCTCCTGTGTCCCCTGGGTCCCTCGATGCACGTCCGCACTTCCTGACCTTCGCCAGCCTCCTCGCCACTAGGGCCCCCGATTGTGTTTGCTCCACCATTGGCGCCGGAGTTCCAGCGGTTCCGCCGGCCGTTCTTTCTCGAGCTGTGCGCAGTGTCTGCAAGGAGCGAGAGCGTCGGAGCGATTTCTGCGCGGCTGCCGCCGCCCCCGCGGGCCGTCCCCGCTGTGGCAGGCGCGACGGTACCTGCAAACGCTTGCCCCGCGGCAGGCGTCATTTGAAACTTGTCGCTGGTCCACTCAACAAACCGGCGCCTCCTGTAGTCCCGGTCCTCGGATCACCGGCGCCCCCTGCATCATTAGTCCCTCGACCACCGGCGCCTCCTGCTTCGCCAGCCCCTCGCCCACCGGCGCCCCCCCGATGGCGTTTGCTCCACCCTTTTGCGCTTTCAAGTTCCGCGACTGCTGCAGCGCGCCTGGACGTCGGCCGGGAGCTTTGCTCGAGCGCTCGGCGTGGCCGTCAGTTGCAAAGGAGCCGAGGCGGGAGCGGGAGCGGATATTCGCCACGCTGTTGCCGCCCCGCCGGCCGTCCCCGCTTTGGCGCGGACGGTACTGCACGACGCTTTTGCTGCGCGGCGCGGTCATCTTGATAATGTCGCTGGTCCCTTCAACACCGGCACCTCCCGTGTCCCCTGCGTTCCTCGATAAACCGGCCCCCCTGTGTCCCCGGTCCCTCGCCCCAACCGGGCCCCCTTGCATCATTAGTTCCCCTCGATTCACGGCCCCTGCATCATTAGTCCTCTCGATCACGGCGCCCCCTGCATGCTTTAGTCCCTCGACCACCGGCGCCTCCTGCTTCGCCAGCCCCTCGCCCACCGGCGCCCCCGATGTCGTTTGCTCCACCTTGGCGCTCAAGCTTCCAGCGTCTGCCTCGCAGTGCGGCTGGACGTCGGGTAGCGTGTCCTCTCGAGCTCCTCGCGATGGGACGCCACCGCTCAGACGCCAGTCATTGTCCTCGCACATCTGCCCACGGTTTGCTAGGAGAGCGGGGGCCCGCTGCGCCTGCCCACCGCCGGCCTTGCCGCCCGCCCGCAATCTCCCCGGCACCCGCGCTGCCGCGACCGCCGCGACCGCGCGGACGCCCCCTGGCTCTCGCCGTGCAAGTCAGAGAGCAAAGATCGGATGGCGTCCGCCCTCCTCGGCGTCTCTAGGGGGCGCTGGCGGCTCGGTTAATCGATGACGGCGCTCGGGCGTGATGAGCAGAGGCGTGTCGCCGTGGCAACGACGACGCTTGGCCAACCTTCTTGCTTGCTTCCATGTTGATCGGGTATCGCTACGGCAACCTGGCACGGGCGAAAGCAAAATCGCGTCAATTATATACCGGACAAACATTATTTAGTAGTACGTTTAGAAGGATTATGATTTCATGATGTGAATCAATGCCAATTGAATCATATGAGCCAGTTACAGTCAGTCGGCTAGTTGGATAATATTTAACTAACGATCTGAAGTTAGTTATACTAAACATCCTATTTGGCCTACTCTCGAATAGATACCTTCTAATTTGATCCACTTGGGCTCTTGCGGCTTATGCCACTGCTCGGTCTCTGCTCTCTACCGCCCACACTTGTCTCAATCTCTAGCCTTCTCCCCTGCCTTCACACCTGTCTCTACCGCCACACTTGTCTCCATCTCAGCCTCTACCCCTGCCTTCACACCGGTCTCCATCTCTACACCTGTCTCTACCGCCACACTTGTCCCCATCTCAGCCTCTACCCCTGCCTTCACACCGGTCTCCATCTCTCACCTGTCTTCTTACGCCCACTTGTCACCCATCTCAGCTATAACCCCTGCTTCACACGGTCTCCATCTCTAACACCTGTCTCTCTTACCGCCAACACTTGTCCCCATCTCCCCCACAGCCTCTACCCTGCCTCACACCGGTCTCCATCTCTACACCTGTCTCTACCGCCACACTTGTCCCCATCTCAGCCTCTACCCCTGCCTTCACAACAGCTCCATCTGCTAACCTGTCTCTACGCCCACACGTGTCCCATATCAGCTCTACCCCTGCCTTCACACGCGTCTTCATCTCGTACACTTTGTATCTACCGGCCACACTTGTCTCCATCTCAGCCCTTACCCCTGCCTTCACACGGTCTCCATCTCTACACTGTCTCTTTACCGCCACACTTCTGTTCCCCATCTCAGCCTTTCTACCCCTGCCTTCACACCGTGTTCTCATCTCTACACCTGTCGTCTTACGCCACACTTGTCCCATCTCAGCCTCTACCCCTGCCTTTCACACCGGTCTCCATCTCTACACTGTTGCTCTCCGCCACACTTGTCTCCATCTTCAGGCTCTACCCGCTGCCTTCACCGCAGTCTCCATCCTCCTCATCTGTCTCTACGCCACATTGTCACCCATCTCAGCCTTTACCCCGCTTCACACGGTCTCATCTCTACACTGTGTCTCTACCGCCCACTTGTCCCCATTCGCGTTGCTCCCTGCCTTCCACGGTCTCCATCTCTACACCCTGTCTTACCCGCCAACTGTCCCATCTTCGATCCTCTACCCTGCCTTCCCAGTCTCCATCTCTACACCTGTTCTTACCGCACACTTGTCCCTATCTCCAGCCTTCCCTGCTTCACACGGTCTCATCTCTACTTGTATCTCCCGCCTCACTTGTCCTCGCATATCAGCCTCTACCCCTGCCTTTCACACGGTCCTCCATCTCTCACACCTGTCTCTACCGCCCACACTTGTCCCATCTCAGCCTCTACCCCTGCCTTCACCGGTTCCTCGCTCTCTACCCTGTCTCGTACCGCCACACTTTGTCCTCTATCTCGAGCCTCGTTACCCTGCCTTCGACCCGGTCTCCATCTCGACAAGCCTGTCTCCGTCTCTGCCTCTGCTTCAGCATTGAACAATCAGATACCACCATCGATGGTGCGTGGGCTGTCCTGCGGGCTCTGCGCTGCCTGCCGGCGGCACGACAGAGCCGCCTCTCGAGTTCGCCGCCGGTTACAGACGCGTCGTTCACGCCAGGGGGGCACGCTTGAACCGCGCCCGCGGGGCGGTCGGAGAACGATGCCAGTTTCGATCGCGGTCGTCGCATGCGCGTGTCATTCGCCCCTACGAGACGCCGTGCGTCACGGCGACGCCCTCTTGGCCGGGGCGGCGTCTGCAGCGCGCGGCGCAGCGGCCGCGGGGGCTCGTGCGTCGAATTTTTGCGCGCTCGGTTCGAGACACGGTTTGGCCGCCGCTCTAGCGGTTCCCGCGTCACCGCGACGTCATCGATGCCGCTCCCGCGCTCCGCGGTCGCCCGGGCGGCAGCGCCGGAAGCTTCGCTGGGGAGAGCGTCCTTGGCGCTGCTATGGTCTGTAGCATCGATCGCAGGTGCCGCCGCGGACGTCTTACTGGACTTGTTTGCGATGGGTACGGGTATGGATGTGGTATTCGGCTGTTCTGTGATGATCGTGGTAGGCGTGGCTGTGGTATCTGTCTCTTCTTTAATGACTGCGGCATGTGTGGCTGTGGTACTTGCCTGATCTGCGAGGATTGTGACAGATGCAGCTGTAATACTCATCTTTTCTGTGAAGATTGGTGCAGGCATGGCTGTAGTAGTTGCCTCTACTTCAATGACTGCGGCATGTGTGGCTGTGGTACTTGTCTGTTCTGCAATGACTGGTCCAGGGTTGACTGTGGTACTTGTGTCTTCTCCAGTGACTGGGGCGGGTGTGGCTGTAGTATTTGTCTCTTCTCCAATGTCTGCGGTATGTATAACTGCAGTACTGACCTCTGCTGCAAGGACATGTGTGGCTGTGGTACTTAACTCTTCTGTGAGGACTGGTCCAGGGTTGGCTGTGGTACTTGCGTCTTCTCCAGTGACTGCGGCAGACGGGGCTGCAATACCTATCTGTTCTGTGAGGACTGGTGTAGGTGGGAATGTAGCCCTTACATCTTCTGTGAGGATTGTAGAGGGTGTGGCTGTTGTACTTTGAAATGTTCTGTAAGGTCGTGACAGCTGTGGCACCTGCCTGCTCTCTAACGACTGGTGCAGGTGTGGCTGTAATACTTGTCTGCTCTCCAATGACTGGTCCAGGGTTGGCTGTGACACTAGTCTCTTCTGTCGTGACTGGGGTAGGTGTGGATGTAATACTTGTCTGTTCTTTGATGACCACGGCAAGAGTAGCTGCAGCATCTGTCTCCTCCCCAGCATCCGCGCGTCTCTACTGACACGTTAAGAAAATCCTCGCGAAGACGGCGGGTTGACGGGTGGCGCCATCACGCCCTTGACGAACCCGCGAGCAGGCGTACGTCCGACCCAGAGGGCGCCACTCGTTCCTCCTCCGCCTCGCCTCCAAGTTCCCTTACGGGCGCAGCACAGCGATCGCCTCCGCGCCGCTTCCCCCGCGGCAGCGGCGCCGGTGCACGCGCCGGGAGGAGACCCGCCGCGGGAAGTCCGTCGAGGGAGATGTACGGAACGTTCTACCGTCGACCGGTTGTCCGTGATCGTCGTGTCCTGATGACCGTTGCTCACTGATCTCCTCCCACTCCGCAGCGAGCGCGGTCCGTGCCGCCGCGACTCGGCGGGCGGCCAGGCGCGGCATACCGCGGGCGGCGGGGCGTCCGCGGCGCGCGTGTAGAACGCCTTCCGCTTCCGCTTGCGGTGCGCTCCGCCTCTCCGCCCGCCGCGGTCGGCTTTGCCCGTCGGTGGCGCCCTCTCGTGAGCAGCAGGTCGCTGTAGAAGCCTTCATGCTCGCCATTGGTGCGCAGCGTCGGCGCGGCGGCGGTCAGCCGTGGCCGACGACCGGACGGCTGGCGCGCGGTCTCCGCTTCGACGGGCGCCCGACGGGCGGCGCCGGGTACGGCCTTGCGCGCGTCTCGTCGTCGTCGCTGGCGAGAGTATCGCGCAGCGACGAGACGATCGACTTGCGGGTCCCGCGAGGTAGTCCTCGGCGACCCCGCCAGGCGCGCGGCGGGACCCTCCCTCGCCTCGTTCGGGGGGTCGTCGGCAGCGTCATCGTCGTGGCGACCGTGCCGACCTCGGCCTCTTCCCGCGCGGCGCCGGGTTCGGCCGTCGGGACGTCCCCTCGCTCGATCCACGTTCGGCGTTCTGACCAGTCGGTCCTCGCTATCGGCGGAACTCGCTCTTGCCGCTGAATTCCGCCGCGGATCAAACTTCGCGCCAGCGGTCCGCCCCTCTCGCCCGCCGACCCTTGCGCGCTGTAGCGGCGTCTCCTGCGGCCGCGCTGTAACGACCGACACGCCCCTCCCGCCACCCCGACGCGTCCTCCTCCTCCTTCGTCCCGGTGTCGTCGTCCGACGGGCGCGGCGGCGGCTCCCCTGTGGCAGCGACTTCGCGGATGGCACGCACGGATTCTTGCGCGCGAGAAAGTCCTCGTTCGAGAAAGGGCGCGGTCTTCCTCCGAGAGGTTCGATCCCTCCCCCCCGGCGTCGCCTCCCCCCGCGCGCTCTCCTTCGCTCCCGCGCCGCCGCACCTCCCTCCCTCTCCGCCCGGCTCGGGGATCGACGCGCTCGCCTTTCGATCGCCGCCGATCGCGACGCAGAGGCGCCGCCTGCTCCTCTTCTCTGCGGCGTCGCTCTCCGTCTCCACGCCGAGAATCGTCCCGGTTCGTCTTTCCGTCTTTCCGGCACACGGAGACAGCCTCTCACTTCGCGAGATCGGACTTAGACCATCGTCGTGATCGGTTCCTCGCTCGGTCGCGCGCGGACTGAATCCGGCCGCTGCGATCGACCGGAGATGGCCGTCTCCGTCGGTCATGGCGACGTCGCTGCCGTCGTCCTCGTCGCACGTCTCCACGCGACAAACTCGAGGTCGCCATCTTGCGTCGGCGCGAGGCTTCCGCGCGGATACGCACTCTTCCAAACGGTGCTATGCATCGCTATGGAAACAGGCTCTTCCATCTGGTTGCCCTGCGTCTGTAAGGAGACGGACTCTTTATCCGGTTGCTATGCGTCTGTGTTGCTGTGAGATCTCTATTCTGTTCGCTTGCGTCTCTGCAGATACGAACCCTCTCCGCATGATTGCGAGCGTCGCTCCGGCGGGCTGCGTCACCGCATCGCCACGAGTCGTCGTAGATGCGGCCGATTCCATCGTTCTGTTCGCGCATCTTCGGTAAACCCGCGCTCGCTAATCTCCCGACTCTCGGCCGCGACGCCCACGTCCGGCGCCTCGTCCGACGCGGGAGCAACGGTGGCGCCCCGCCAAGCGTAGCAGGGTGCTTAGCCGCGTGTCGTCCACGCCGCGCGCGCGGCGTCTCCGCGCACCTGACCTCGTCCGCGCCTCCAGTCCCTCGGAGCCTCGCGGCGCGGCGATGCACGGGACGTCCGACGCGCTTACCTCGGCGCGTTCGCTCACCGCGCCGTCCGCCAGGGCGGCGCTGGGGTCGCTCTCGATCTCGCCAGTGGTTTCCGTCGCCGAGGGGACAGACGCGCCGCCTCCGCTGCCGCTCGCTCTCACGCTCTCATATCGCCTGCTCGCCGGTTCCTCTTCCGCACTGCCGCCGCCCTCCTCCACGTCCGCCTGACCCAACCGGATCCGTCTGTCTGCTGCAGGCGACGACGCGGTAAAGTGCGTCTGCCAGTTGGAGCGCGTGAACACGTCGCACGCCATCTTGTATGAGATCGGAGGTTTCCGACGCAGAAGCGGCTTCTCGTAGTCGAACCCTAGCGCCACCTGCCTCCCGCCTCGCCTTCTCCTCGCCCGCGGCTCCTCGGGCAACGCTTCGGGAAGATGAGGAGGAGCAGGGGAGGTCGTCGTCTCCCCCGGCGGTGCGGCGGACGGAGGAAAGTCGGCAGCAGCGGCGGCGTCGCGATTCGGTCGACTCTCGGCGGTTTTACGGTCTTCGTTCGCGTTCAACGTGTCGGGATTTTCTCCATCCTCTTCGGTAGGTTTTCTCCCGTAATCGACCCCTGCCGTACTCGGCTCCACTGTCTCGGCTGTCTCGAATGTCTCGGTTGCCGCCTCTGCATTCGATCTCGCTGTCTCATCCATTTTTAACGGCCCACCCGCCTCCTCTGTATATGGCATCGCTGTCTCAGTTTCGTCGTTTGTCTTCTTTACCGAAGCAGCAGTGTCTTCTCCGTCGGCCCGCTCCTCCTTCTTAAGGTCTCCTCCATCGGCCGGCTCCTCCTTCGCAGCGTTTCCGCCGTCATCCGGTTCATCCTTTGCAGCGTTTTCTCCGTCGGCCGGCTCCTCCTTCCTAAGCTCTTCTCCTTCGGCCCGCTCCTCCTTTCCAGCGTCTTCTCCGTCGGCCGGCTCCTCCTTCTTAAGGTCTCCTCCATCGGCCGGCTCCTCCTTCCTAAGCTCTTCTCCTTCGGCTGGCTCCTCCTTCCTAAACTCTTCTCCGTCGGCCAGCTCCTCCTTCCTAAGCTCTTTTCCTTCGGCCCGCTCCTCCTTCTTAAGGTCTCCTGCATCGGCCGGCTCCTCCTTCGCAGCATTTCCTCCGTCGGCCCGCTGCTCCTTCGCAGCGTTTCCTCCGTCATCCGGTTCATCCTTTGCAGCATTTTCTCCGTCGGCCGGCTCCTCCTTCCTAAGCTCTTCTCCTTCGGCCGGCTCCTCCTTCGCAGCGTTTCCTCCGTCGGCCGGCTCCTCCTTCTTAAGGTCTCCTCCATCGGCCGACTCCTCCTTCCTAACCTCTTCTCCTTCGGCCGGCTCCTCCTTTGTAACGCCTCCTCCCCACTCCTCTTCTTCCCCGACCGTCAAGCGCGCCGTCTCCCTCCTCTCGCCCTTCCTCTCCTCTTCGCTGTCCGACAACTCGATCACCTCCACCTCGCCACTCTCCTCCTCATCCTCCTCATCCTGTTCCTTCTTCTTCTTCCTCCAGGGCAGCAGGTCGTCGTCGTCGTCCTTCCACATCTGCCGCAGCCGCTCCGACCCCGGGATTCCCCCCGCCGCCGCCGCCGCCTGCTCCGGCTTCCTCTTCGGGCGGTACATCACGAAGTTGCCCTGCTCGGTCTTGATGAGCTCTCCTCTTTCGAGTACGGTCTGCGTGCTGACTCCTCCTCCTCCTCCCCCGCCACCGCCGCTGCCGCCGGGCGTCCCCCCCTCTGCCGTCGCGCCGCCGCTGCTGCTGCTGCTGTGTCCGTGAACGACGATCTTGCTGTTCGGGTGCAGCTGGCTCATCCGGATCATCGGTATCCCGGCAGTCGCCGCGCTGACGCGGATCGTGCGCAGCGTCCCCGGCGCTCCCTTGTGCGGCGGGGAAAGCATGTACCGCACTCGCTGCGGCTGCTGAGTCGTCAAGACCGTCTGCAGACGCTGTGTCGTCGCCAGCGACGTGGGCGGCAGAGGCATCCTCAGCTGAATCATCGTGCAATGCGGGGCGGCGGCGGCGTGCGACTGCGGGAGACGCGAGATCGGCGTGACGAGCTGCGAGGCCGCCACGCGGCGCACCCTGGTGGGAATCGCCTGCGGCTGCTGCGGCCGAGAGTTCGCGCGACGAGACGCATCGACTTGCGGCCCGCGAGGTAGTCCTCGGCGAACGCCGGCGCCGCGGCGGCGACCCTCTCGCTCGTCTGTCCGTCGGCGTCGTCATCGTCGTGGCGACCGTGCGACGCTCGCCTCTTCCCGCGCGGGGGTTCGGCCGTCGGGGACGCCCCCTCGCTCGGTTCCGACGTCGGCGTTCTGCCGTCGGTCCTCGCTTCGCGGGAATCGTTCTTGCCGCCGAATTCCGCCGCGGATAAACTCGCGCGTCGCGGCCGCCCCCTCGCCGCCGCCACCCTGCCGTCGCTGTAGCGGCGTCTCCTGCGGCCGCGCTGCGACGACGCCGCGTGCGGCGCCCCCTCCCCGACCGCGTCCTCCTCCTCCTTCGTCCCGGTGTCGTCGTCCGACGGGCCGGCGGCGGCGGCGCCACCTGTGGGCAGCGACTTCGCGAGGATGCGCACGGATTTCTTGCCGGCGAGAAAGTCCTCGTTCGAGAAGGGCGGGTCTTTCCTCCGAGAGGTTCGATCCCTCCCCCCGGCGTCGCCTCCCCCCCGCGCGCGCTCCTCCCTTCCTCCCCTGCGCGTCCGCACCTCCCTCCCTCTCCCGCCCGGCGTCGGCGCGATCGACGCGCTCGCCTTTCGATCGTCGCCGATCGCGACGCCAGAGGGCGCCGCCTGCTCCTCTTCTCTGCCGGCGTCGCTCTCCGTCTCCACGCCGGAATCGTCCCGGTTCGTCTTTCCGTCTTTCCGGCCCACGGAGACGCCTCTCGCCTTCAGCGAGTCGGACTTAGACCCATCGTCGGTGATCGGTTCCTCGCTCGGTCGCGCCGGACTGAATCCGGCCGCTGGCGATCGACCGGAGATGGCCGTCTCCGTCGTCATGGCGACGTCGCTGCCGTCGTCCTCGTCGCACGTCTCCACGTCGACAAACTCGAGGTCGCCATCTTGCGTCGGCGCGAGGCCTTCCGCGGATACGCACTCTTCCAACCGGTTGCTATGCATCGCTATGGAAACAGGCTCTTCCATCCGGTTGCCCTGCGTCTGTAAGGAGACGGACTCTTCTATCCGGTTGCTATGCATTGCTATGGAAACAGGCTCTTCTTTCCGGTTGCTATGCGTCTGTGTTGCTGTGAG